CTCTCTCTCTCTCTCTCTCTCTCTCTCTTACTTTCTCATTTAGTCGTGGTTCTGCACGCACGCACGTATTTCCTGTTGCTGCTTTTCAGTTACGTGTCCTACCGAACCGAAACTTCCTCCAAACACCGCGTGATCGATTTAATCACCGCCTTATTAAAAAATCATTGTTTATTATTATTTCACTGTTACTATTTACTATCATTATTATCTATTATTAATTCCTTATATTATTATCATTATTATTTATATCGTTATGTTATGTATTATTCATACTAAATGCTGGGCTTCCCCGCAGAGAGCCACCAGATGAAGGGACGCGCGTCGCAGGATGCCTCCGTCCTCGTGACGATGTCGCCACGGCGACCGAGTCCCTACATCGCGCGCACGATCGAAAGTCTCGGCCGCCATAGCGGCGCCACCGAGATGGAGGCTGTGCGCGCGCCGCGTGCACCGCCAGGGGACGCCGGCGGCGACGCCGACCGTAAGACGCTGAGTAGCGTCATCAGCGGCGGCGGGATGGGGAAGACGATCGAGTCTGCGCTGAACTCTGACCCGCGCGCTACGACGCCGACCCCAGCGCAGCCTCCCGCGGTTGTCGCCGCGGCAACGGTTGCCGGCGATGCTGCCGGCCAGCCGGTGTGGCTCGGCGTCGACAGCAACCGCGCCGCAACGACGACGGCGGCAACACCAGAGGGCAGCAGCGGCGGGGACGCGACGCCTGCGCAGCGCTCGTACTTCCTGCACGACACGACGACGCCAGGTGGCGCCGGCGGGGAGGCGGAGCGTCTCGCGGAGGTGATGGTGGCAGCACAGAGCATCGGTGAGACGGCGCTGCGTAACGCGCCGGCGCGGCTGGAGTCCGCCATCAACAGCGTGAGTTATTCGCTAGTCTACACGGCGTCTGTATGGGTGGGGTGCTGATGGAGGGAGTGAGGGAGGAAGGGAGGGAGGGTGAGAGGGAGAGAAGGTGGGAGGGAGGGAGGGAGGGTGAGAGGGAGAGAAGGTAGGAGGGAGGGAGAGAAGGAGGGAGGGAGGGAGAGAAGGAGTGAGCGAGCGAGGGAGGGCGGGAGGAGGTGAGTGAGTGAGTGACTGAGCGAGCGAGCGAATGAGCGAAGGAGTGAGTGAGTGAGCGAGGGAGGGAGGGAGGGAGGGAGGAAGCGAGTGAGTGAGCAACTGAGCGAGCGAGCGAGTGAGCGAAGGAATGAGTGAGTGTGTTCTCACCTTAGATGAGTTCTATTTCTTGCTATATGTCATACAATTTGACAAAACTTGTAATTTACTACTTTGTTGTAAAGTATTCTCTCAGTTTTACTCTCTGTGTAATATATTTCGTAAATTTTAATACCCACCTGGAAACATTTCAACGTAAGTCGGTAACGCAATAATAAGCGGTAAATTATCGCGTAAAATATTATGATTATTATATTATGATATATATATTATTATTATTGCGGTAAATTATTACCAAATGTTCGTTTTTCGACCAGCAGGCGGTGCTGGGTGCGGCTGCGGCCGCGGAGGGGGCGCAGCCACTGCAGCTGCTGCGCTCAATGCTGGATGATGCGGTGCACGAGATCCGACAGTGGGTGCGGCGCGACATTCAGACCCTACACGTCGTCATGCTGCAGGAGTTTGAACTGCAGAAGGTACGACCTGTGCTAGAGAGAG